CTAACTATATTTCCGAGATGAGGTACTGCAACTATTTACATTGCTCAGACTGTTGTCCTCATCTTTATTCTCATATTCACATTTCAGCCATTAATAACTCAACTCTCCATGTTTTTGTTCACCTCTGTTGTGGCCAGGTATTGAACTCACAACTCTCTAGGTGAAGTAATTGGATTACTTCAACCAATGCTTTTATCCACTGGGTCATATCACCTGAAGAAGACCGGTGCATACAATGTCCAAAATGTTGTGAGTATGACAATAAAGTTGAGGACAACAGTCCAAACAATGTAAATAGTGTAAATTACTACCCTCATGTTTTACACAAGGGATGGGATTCCTTGGGTTCATGGCTTCTGCTCTTTACCTTGACACTTGCTGTACCCGATTCTAACCAAACAATTCAATTTTAGTTTCAACACTCCATAAAATCAAAGTTCCAAAAATCACATTTTTTTTTCCAAGTAGGCATAAGGAAATTCCAATTGAGCCTCATGGTGATGATTTGGGAGTAAAAGTGTTTTTCTTGGATGGTAACTACCGAGAATATGTTTATTGAACATACTGCTTAACATACAATGAGACACATTTCTTCCTTTATTTGACAAATAAGAAATAATTCCTTTCAGCACAATTTTTGGGTTCTTTTTGCATTCACAGTTTTTCTTTGCAATCTTAAAGAGAGTTTGGGTTTATGGCCTTTTCAATAGAGAGTTGCAATGGGAATGTATTTTCAGAATACGTCAAATGCTGGATGCAGAGAGAGGAAAAAAAGAACAGTTTTAAACAAATTACTTTTATTTTGATAGCATATGAATATCAGTTTTGAACTGAACAAGATTTTTTTTTTTTTATAACTGCATAAGCTACTCCTAAGTAGACAATCATTCTTTACTGACCTGGGATCATGTTGCTTAACACACACACAAAAAAAAAAGAAAGAAAAAAAAAGGATATAATGCATTTTATAATCCAAATGATTAAACAAATCATTGCACACATTTGGGAAGGTTTTGTCAAGTGTTTAAAACAATTATTTTTTGAAAAAATTTAAATATTTAAAAAAAAAAAAAAAAATTATTTTTCCAAAACCAAAAGGTAAGAAAAAGAAAAAGAAAAGACAAAGAAAAAATGTTGAGAGAAATAAAGTGAAAAGATAATAGGTGCAGGGAGAGCAATAAAAGTAGAAAAGAAAGATAAAAATCAATTCCAACCAAAAAAAAGAAAAAGTTATTTTAAACTCAGAAAATAAGAAGTAAAGAAATAAAAAAGTAATAAAAATACTAAAATAATGAAAAGCAAATAAAAAGTGTCACTATGTGAATTTTATAAATGAAATAAAATGAATTTGCTGGCGAGAGGCAGATAATAAAAATAATCAGCTAATGCTAGAAGAGTTGAATGATGATTACAAGAACTATGAATAATAACAAATTTTTTTTTTCTTTTTTAAATCAGTATCACCCCATGCAAGGCAGTACAGCCCCTAGCATGCAAGGTGTTACTGGGGGTGTGGAAAAATTAGGAACAGAAACATAAATAATGAGCAGGAAGAGGGAAGAGTAATCAGGAGGACAGTAGATAGCAATTGACATTGCATTTAAACTTTTGCAGATTAAAGTTGGCTGAAAAGCATGGAGCTGGAAGGGAGTTCCACAAGCGAAAAGTGCGAAAAAAGAAACTCAGCATAGAAGCTATGGCTACAGCTAGCTACCTTAACTGTAAATTGATGAGATCAAGCTGCCAGTCTAGTACTGTGCTTAAATTCATACAGTCTAGGTATCATAGCGAAAAGCTCATATGAAAAATTAACATGAAAGCATTTATAAAAAAGGCACAAAGAGGCAAACTTATGGCGGTGGGTAAATGACTGAAGCTGAACCACCAGATTAGGACCAATAATTTTGCTGATTCTTTGGATCTTATCAAGGAATATTTTGAATTGTAAGAAAAATCTTTTTTTTTTTTTTTTTGCAAGTGAATATTGTTTTAACAGTTTTGTGGAGATAATGATTTTTTCAGATACATTCGACTCTAGCTGGGGAAGAAAGAGATGGATTCATGCCTTTTCCAAAGCTATTAGTGCATAAATGAATATAATAAACTTGACTGGAATTTGAAACTTCTTTCAAAGTTAGTAGCAGGATTTTTTTTATTTAGCACATAAATTATCAATCACTACAAGTTTGTGGTAAGAGAATGGATAATGGTTGACAAAGCTTCATTTCCTTCATTTCAAATTTTGTGCCGTTTACTTGTGGCTGTAGTAAATGTTGCAATAAAAGCAACTAAAAATTAAGATGACAGTAAATACTCATCAAAATAACAAGGCTCACCAACCTAGCAAAGAAAATGTATCTGATCCTTTCTATGCTTTACAGAAAACCCTCACATGCATATTATATATATATATATATATATATATATATATATATATATATATATAAAATACATGTTTCATTGAATACAACAGACAATATGCTTTGGTTTAGTTTTTTTATACAATTTTTCATGTGATCTTACAATTTTTTTTTCTTTTTGGAAGATAAATTATATAAAAAAAATGTCCAATCGTTCTTTCTTTCTGAGCGCTTTCAGCTATACATTTAGCCATTTTCAAGGTTGAAATATGTCAACTGCTAACTAGAAATAGATTGTTGTATGTATATATTTATATAATGTTTTCATTTTCAAAACACAGTCAAGATATTGTGCCCATGTTCATAGTTGATATTATTGAGTATTGGTTTTTTTTGTTTTTATTTTTTTTAAAAATACATATATTAATTCATCAGTTTCATGGTTATAAATGGTATAAAAATGAACTATTTAATACGGTTGTTTTTTAAAAAATTCTAGGTTTCATGGAAGGAACGCTATATATTATATACAGATTCAAAGTTCAAGGTTATTATAAATATCGGGATATAAATTCAAAATATAGAGTGTTGGTTGGTACATATTTCGAAAAAAAATCATGATATATAAGCTTATATGGTATATATTTCTGTTAAGAAAAAAAAAAAGAAGGTAGATTAGGTATTGTGTAAAATGACGTATAAAAAAGGGGGTGTAATTTGAAAATAATAAAGCATAGGGAGAAAACAATATAAATACAGAGGTGGAGTAGGTGCAGTGTGTTGTATTGTTGTTTGGTATGGTAATTTACAAGTAATCTCTTAGTCTTAAGGAAATAACATTGTACTGTATATAGAGCTAATTTCTTGTTATTTAGTTTTGTGTGCCAATGGCTTAATGGTAGAATCCCCGACTGACGCCAATTCAGTCGGGTTTTGATCCTAGCTAGAGGCAACCAGATGTCTATCCACACTGATGAGCTGTGATACAGTGAAACAGTCTGTCTGTAGATGACAATATATATGCTCCTGAAAAATTTATTTCAGTTGAGCTCTCTGGGGAGGAAGTGTAGTTTTGTAAACAATGACTATTATGGCTAATGATGCAAGACTCTTCAGTAAATCAAATTGAGTTCTCTCAGTCACTGTGTGTTTATGTAAAAATAAATACGTTTAAATTCACCTTCATCCCTGCTGTGCGCCAACAGCTTAATGGTAGAATCCTCGACTGACGCCAATTCAGCTAAACAGTCTGTCTGTGGATGACTATATATATATATATATATATATATATATATATAAGCAAATATATGGATATAGATCCGACAGTATGAAGAAAAATATACTGAAAAAACAAACAAAAATCTTAATATGCAATTATGCTGTTTTAATGTTTAATGTCAACGTCAGATGTTTCGGTCTAATAGACCATATTCATAAAACATAATTAACAAAGACCATATACAATTCAACATGAAAAAGACGATGGACATAAAAGCAATACCAATCCAAACAGATAACTGAAATCTTTTATAAGATCAGCGTTCCGTTTAAATATGATCACGTCGTCATATTAGGATTTTTGTTTGTTTTTTCAGTATATTTTTCTTTATATATATATATATATATATATATATATATAATATCTTTGGGAAAGGTATGAATCTGCCTCTTTCTCCACCAGCTATGGGTTAATTAGTAAGACTAGTATCACTAGACCAATATTATCTTCCCACACAAAATTCTTACAATCTAAAATACTTTCTGGCTTTAAATAAACTGCTATGGGTTGATAAGCTGTAGAAAACAAATCAATCAATCATAAAAAAAATCCATTCCTAGCTATTTTTAATAGCCTCATTGTTATGTAGTAAGACTGACTAACCTTCTCTACACCTATTATTAAAACATGGACTCATTCTCCACTATAAGTAGAACGTCTACTCAGGGAACAATGGTAAAAAATGGATTGCAAAGGTGTAGAGCTTTTCAATTGTACACTTGCTGCACAGAACTACTGTATTCTCAATCCATGTTCTTATGTGATTAAGCTATTCTTCACTCAATCATTTGTTCCAATGTTTTCGTTATAGTCTTACTAACCAACAACTATGAGTGTTATGCAAAGTTTTTAATATTCACCTATCCAATACCTTAGTATTCTCAATCCAGTAGTTTCATCACATAAACACTAAAATCATTTAAAGTTTGAATTTTAATTTTTAAAGGCCAAAATTTGATATTTAAGCAAGAGAAAAAATTAGTTCATATTTCCTTTAAACATTTGAGGATGTGTGTTTTTGTTTTTTGCCTTATTTAAGTGGACAGCAAAACATTCAAAATATCCTCTTTTAAAAATAATTGCCCTTTAAATTAAGTAGTAGTATACTTATGAATTGAAAGATTAAATCTAACCATACATGTTATCGGTGGGGTGGCAGGAATGACCTTCAATCAATGATATTTCTAAAACTATAGGAATGGTAACACACACATTACAGAATCTACTAGTTTAACTAACGAAAAAGTAATAAGAGTACTGTGGACCAATAGGCAGTATACAATTAGAGAATCTTGAAAAGGTCAAATTGTTGTCTTTGTGCATATTTCTTTTTGCAATCACAAATAATGTTAAGTAGATATCTAAGGGGGAAAAAGGGGCCAAATACATATCTGGAGAGGAAAAGAAGGGACCAAATATATATCTGGGGAAAAAAGGGCCAAATAGATATCTGGAGGGAGAAGAAGAGACCAAATTTTCAAAAACTTGACTATGCCACTTATTTTTTCTTCTTTCATCCCAAACCTAGTATAAAAATTTCAGTGCAGTTATTAATTTTTGGAATTTCCATGAACAGAGCATAATTTAAAACTTTACATCTAGTTTAAAAAAAAAAAATAAAAACATTATCAGTCACTTGTGTAAAGTGCAAGATTGATCCATTTAAAAAAAAAAAAAAAAAAAAAAAAAAAAAGAAAAGTTTTTTAAGCCTCTTAAACATTTCTAACTACAGGTTCATTATTGGAAGATTTTGTAGGAATTATAATATATTTCACCTATGTAGTAATGACTGAAAATTATAGAGACAAAAATTGAACATTACTTATTCAGTTAGTCAATGTGGTCACCACTCCCCTCCATCCAATCCTCTTAATATCATCTAGCCAAGAAATGGATGGTCATCTTTGGTGCCGCTTGACCTCTACTAGGCCCAGCAGAATGTCCTTATCGAAGCTGCCTCATCACATAATATGTCTGAAGTAACAGAGCTTCCTTAGATTGTACACTACAATGTTTGGGACATATCAGGTCTTAGCTGTGAAGGTTAGACAGATCTTATATTCCTTAAGTATGGATTTTTATAAAAGTTGGTGATATAATGATGTGTGTTTATAGATGGCAAAACATTTATCAGGATTCCTTCTAATTATTTCCTACATAATAAATTATGTTCTTTTCTAATTAGGGTGACATTTATAAAATTGAAACTATGGCTTGTTTTGTTTGTGTGTTACAAGTGAGTTTAAAGGGTTGTCCCAATATAGTCTCTTATGTTGATAGATGCAAGCTTTTAGATTCCTAGATGTTTCACCTGTGTACCTTTTCTGACATGTAACTTAAATAAAAGTGAAATGTTAAATTTATAAATGTTTCCTATTTTTTATCTCATCCTATCAGTTCTTTGTTTGTAGTGAAAGAGAAATCTACATACTTTTATCACTAAATCCCAATGAGAGCATATTTAGGATATATTAACAATAAAACTGTCTTCCTAATTTGTGTGTGTGTGTGTGTGTGTGTGTTTTGAAGGTAAAATAGGTTAAATTACAAAGCCACATGTTTGGATCTCTATCAGGTTCCAAAAGAGACATACTGCATGAATTTTTAAAGGTTAAAAAAAAACAATTTGTCATTCAACTTAACCAACTTGACTAAAAATATTTTTAAATTGTAACAATTTTTTTGGAGATAATAATGATTTACTGATACAAGTCTTACTAATTAACCCATAGCTGGGGGAAAAGAGGTAGATTCATAATTTTCCCAATTGTATTTGCACATAAATGAATATAATGAAACCAACAAAAATTGGAATTCAACTCTCCAATTAACAATTCCAAGACATTATCCATTACACCACCCACATATCCAAGCTTATAGTAAGTAAGTGGTAATTGTTCTGATAAACTTTTCTCTATGGTACCCAGATTTTATGAATTTAAGCACAATACTAGATTGGCAGCAAAGTCTCATCAGTTTACAGTTGAAATTGCTAGATGTAATTGTAAGTTCTATGCTAACAGTTTCTTCCCTCACACTTCTCACTTGTGGGCCCATGATTTCCAACCAAATTTGATCTTCAAAAATTTAAATGCAATGTCACTTGTTATCTACTGTCTTCTTGATTCCTCTTTTATTGTTCTTGCTCTATAATAATGTTTCTTTTTACTTATTCTTTCACACTCAATAACCCCTTGTGTCTTAGCAGCTTTACTCCCTTACATGGGGTGAAATCATTAAAGAATAACAGGAAGAAGGAGAAAGAGTTGACATTAAAAGAAATGTAAATTTTTATGTGTTGTGCCCACAATGTAACATTGACACAATCCTAGCAGTTTTTTTTTTAGTGCTCTAATTTTTTTTTCTTTTTTAAATTGGGATTTTCAGATGAATATATTTGTAGGGTTTTAGATAGAACCTCTCGTCTAGTGAGCAGGTAACTGAGGTGAGTCAGTGCACAGAGCACAGATAGTGGATAACCAAGGGAATTAGTGCCCTTGGCACAGAGAATTGGTCTGGATCCAAGAAAGGGTTGAAATAAAATATGCCACAACCAATGTCCAGACTCACATAAACGAAACAAAAGATATTCCTAGATGGTAATACAGGACTTGACCTTAACTCAAAGATAGTAATTTTTTAGAGTACAACCATCACAATGTACAATGTTTATGTTATGTTTTATTATTGTTTTGCATTGTTACAGTTAACAAATGTATTTTGGCACTTCTTTTTTCATTTTCCTTTAGTACCTCATATTTATATGTTGGGAGCTCCTTGAGGTAGGGAGCCATTATGAAATAACAACCCAACATCTTGGTTATTTTACTGGTAAAAGAAAACAAGCCAAAATAATCCATTATAATTCTGCTTTTTCCTCCCTTTTTTATTGAGTTCCTTAGTCCATAATGGACTATTTTGAAAATCTATATTCTCAGAAAAGGCTTTGGTCATCTGCACAATTTGATTATCCTACTTGTGAAAAGGAAAGAATAACACTCTCTTCCCACTTTCCAATGCATGGCATTCAGACATGTTTTCTAGAACCTCTATTGATGAAGTAAATACAACCTTTACTTTGGTCAATTCAACTACTCACAAAGCTGACTTGATTTCAACCTTTATGAGCAATCGCATTTTTTTCTCACTTTCCAAAGTATAGTGTTCAGATGTGTTTTGAAGAATCTCTACTGATGAAGTATAACCTTTACTTTGGTTGTTCCAACTCTGCATAAAGCTGACTAGAGATCAACCATAATAACCATTCTTATCATTACTTACCCTAACTTAATTCCATACCAGAAAAAGGAAACAGACATATCCAAGAGACATTGAGAACTTTGTTTCCCTACAGTTTCCATAAAAAAGAATAAATGGTCAGTAGTAGAAACCAAAGTTTTGGTTGCTTCTTCTTTAACTGTTTATATGTGAACATGCACATACCTACTATAAACCTTCAGTCCCATACAATCTTTATAAAATAATAGAAGCTCTGCATAATAGATATCAGTGTTCAAACAAAACATGGAATAAAACTCAAAGAATGAAAAGTTGAAAAAAAAAATAATCTGGACCTTCAAGAACTGAATAAAATTATGAAATCTGAAAGTGAAAATTGTACCCATTATTATAAGTTCTTGAAATGAACATTCCAAAAGAGACTGGCAAATAGATTTCATGGTTTATAAATTTGTAGACAAACTAAAAACTATCAAAACAGTATTACAAAATTCAGTGAAAATACTGAAATATTATGAAGACTTGTTGTCTCTTTATATCCAATGATAGCCAATTGATACTACTGAAAATGCAACAAGTATAAAAAAATAATTTATACTTAATTATAGAACTATCACACAAAGGTGTGTTCATTGATCATGATAGCGAAAATCTGAGAAAGAATTGAAACTGTAGCTACTATCAGTTATGATATAGAGGAGTGTAAGAGAATTGAGGAAACCTGTTGTCACTTGATCCCCAACTGGATATTACTTCTGTGAAAACTCAATGAGCACAAAATGATAATACATAGGTAATAATGGAGTATCTTCATTCTGCTGCACCAAAAACTGAAAATCATTTCTATTTGATGATTGCCTAAGAAATGGAAGATGAAATGGAAGATGAAAAAGTTAATAAAAATAAACATGTTTTTAATAGTGTAAACAATTAAAAAAAAAATACTGCCCGAATTTGGAAGAAAAAAAAAAGTAGAAAATAAATAAAAAGGTGCAACAAGCACCTAGTCTTTCAGTGAAAACCATGCAATTCAGTGATTGGCTGAAAATACCTACCCACTGTCGGTTCAATGATATACTCTACAGAAAGAAAATGAATAACAATTGCAACATTATATTTCATATATATATATATATATATATATATATATATATATATATATATATATATATATATATATGTACATGAATTTAGATATAAATACATACATATGTAGACATAAAAATTAAGGTACTGGGTGTTTATTTCAAACTGTAAAGAAGTTACTTTATTAACAAGATTCACAAATTAGCTACAGAACATCAATAAAAAAAACAAAAAAAACTTATAATCACATGATTAAAACGTGTTTACATATATAAAACTGGATATTAATAAAAAAGAAAAAAGGAGGGTGATTAATCACAAGAATATAATAAATAATAGTTTCAATAAATACAGAATAAATATGAATGCAAATATTGTTCGGAGGGATGCATGTAAAACTTGTGAAAAAATGACCCTCTGACCATTTTAAAAGCAAATATTAAATGAAGTGAAAGTATATTTCTGTCAGAAACTCTCATGGAAAAGACACCTAAATTAAATATTGATAGAAAATTTATTCATTAAATTTATATTTTAAGATCACATAATTTATCAAAAGTTTCGGTTTATCATATGTGATAATTTATTGACTCATTCTTTTTATGGCTTATCAACTCTTTGTGGGTTACTCAAAGCCAAAACATATTTTGGATTGGAAGAATAATTCTTTTTGTTTTTGTTTGCAAGTGAATATTGCCTTATCATATTAATAAAAAGTAAGCCATTGTGTTGGTCTAAATTTATTAACCAAGAAAATACATCATATACAAAATTACAGAACAAATTTTTATCAGATGGTTAAGAAGGATATCAAAATGAACACTTCTCAAATTTCTTACTTTCAAATAAATAGTTACCTCCCAGCTTTTTTCCAATAATATGAACAGAAAATAATATATTTAAGTTATTCCTGTGAAAAGAAATTATTTTAAAATTAGTGTTTTTAGTGTTTCTTTCATTTGTGTGTATATGTAGTCCCATCAACATTAACTTAGTTCGATGGGGTCCTAAAGGATAAAACATGTCACTCAAGGTTTTTTCCACTCTGTCATACTTCTTTCCCACAAATTGTTCTTGATATATAAAAGATTTTATATATTGTCATCCCATATACTTCATATATAT